AAATCTTCAAAAAAAATCCCTAATAACTTTGCAAAACATCAAAAAGTAAATCTAATATCAGTGGGTGATGTTTTGATCAATTTTTGTTAACTTTGAGAAACCTTTCGATCCTAAAACATTCACCAAAAACTATATTTTTGGGGGCTTTCTCTCTCTAAAATTGGCTCCAACAAGTTTTAAGGTTCAAATGAATCTAAAACCCTAATTTTTGGCCCTTAAAAATAAAAATAAATGACCAAAATTGCCCCTGCCAAAATCAATTTTTGCCCTGGGCGCTCGCCTAGGCGGCCACCCAAGGATCGACCGCCCAGATTGGCTGCCTAGTCCTCGGCGATGCGCCCAGGCCTTTCGGACCGCCTAGGTGCTGGGCGGTCCGCTTTTTGAATCATTGTGTGATCTACATACTAGGACAATGTTTCCACCATTTATTTTTCTGCTTTGACAGGCCAAATCATGAGCCTTTGTGAGCAGCTGTGGACTGTGAGTCATGGGTCCATTTGAGTTGGTTTGAGAAGATAGTCGTGGTTCACGGTTTCCAGGACAGGTGGAGTGCTTGACAGTCACTTTTCTTGACCCATTGGTACCAATCTACTTCCATAAGTATTTTCGAGCATTCTTGGAGCTTTCAAGAACTTCAGAAATATTGTTTTTTGGATTTTATTTATGCTTCTATAATATTTAACTAATTTGCAGAATTTTTATAGATTATTTTATTAATAATAATTCTTATAATGGTATTTTGGATATTTTGCAATTTTCTAAGGGCTTAATTTTTGAGTGAGACCCATGTGGGTAGTTTTGGGGGGGGGGGTGGGGGGTGCTGGGGATCAAGGCCCCAGCCCCGACGTGGGAGGGTCCCACATGGGGTGGATGTGGGTCCCAACGCATAATGTGATGCCACATATTTTTCACATAAAATAGGGAGTTAATAAAGGAATATTTTGTGTAAGTTTAGTTGGTTATGATTTTGAGTTAAAGTTAACTAAGTACTTCATTATTGGCTTGGATTTCTTCAGTTATTAGAAGTTATTTCTATGTGAGTAAAGCGACCAAATTTTATGGGCTATGGAAGATCGAATAGTCTAAGTGTTGATATGGGTCAAAAATTCAAAGGATAATTCTTAAGGTTCCTCCCTAATCATGATGGATGATTTCATGGTTGGGTGTCTCTGATTTGTTTCCTCACCCCTCACAAAATACCGGAGACTCCTAAGGTCCTAGGAATGGATGATACTTCTCAGAAATGTGCTCATTGACACATGCAAAAGACATTACTGTCGTACTTCACTGGAAAATCAATAAATCTGGAAATTTGCATTTGGATCTTGATTTCGTGTTATTAGAACTTCGACTTCATGTTTGATCGAAACATTGTTTTGTGAATCAATGAACCCTGCGTTTTGACGTTGTAGATCTAGCTTCCAAAAAACATTGATTCGCTACTTTTGAAAATTGGGATGAAGATCTCATATACATTCAACCCTAGTGTTGTGCACCTATGAATCACAAATTGTGCGATGGAATCTAGATTACCAAATCCCAGCTTCCAGGAATCAAGATTCAACAGAAAATATTTGGATTGAGATTCGAGCAATTTGGAGTTGTGATTCCTATATTCTGAAAATCGCGATTCATCCTTGGGAAACGCAGAACCGAACTGGAATCGTGACCTTGGTACACGATTTGGGTAAGCATGTTTAATCCTAATTTAAGTTGGAATAACTTAGGGCCTTGAGGTCTGTATAAGGAGGGTCCTCCCGCATTTCTCTTCACCTTAATTTCAAATCTCTCTAGTTCCCTCTCTCTCCCCTTCACACCATGCCTCTCTCTCTCTAGCCTTCTCTCTCCTCTCTAGGGTGGCACATATCTCCCATAGGAGCCTAGGGTGGCATGTCGTACCTAGGTCATGGAGAGGGGGCACACCCAACTTTGTCTTGTTAAGGGGAGGTAAGGATTAAAAGGAGTCGGTGAAACACTAATTTCCTAGCCTAGGCTCTAGAGGTGCTTCCCAATTCAAAAGATTCTCCTAGATCGAAGGATCAGAATGCGCCATCGGTTTGGTAATCGGATGTGGGGTATGCTAAGTCGTAAGGAGGTAACTCTAGGCAAAGGTTCTGTAAGTATTCTTAGTTTTATTTTTCAGTTTTTCTTTTTCTTTTTTAGTTCTTGATTCATATTTTTTTTGGGAGTCTAATCGTATTAGAAGTCCTATATGGATCTTACTTAGACTAGGACTCCTACCTAGATTAGAATTCCTAATTGTATTCGAATTCATATTATAAGTTTGAATTTACGTTTCTTTGAAGAAATTTTTTTATTTTGGCAGTTAAAAGTTAAAGATCTTAGCATTGTTCTAAAAAGCGGACTGCTCAGCGCCTAGGTGGCCGCCTAGGCGGCCAAAATGGGCAACAGTCCCTGGGTGGCCGCTTGGGCGGCCGCCTAGGCAAGCGCCTAACGCCCTGCCTAGGGGTGGAACTTTTTTTTTTGTATTGATTTAAATATAAAGGGTTTCAACGATGGGTTTTAGGTTCATTTGAAGCTTCAACCCACAAGAACCCATTTTAGAGAGAAAGAAACCTCAAGGAAACTAAATTTTGTGACTTTCATTGTATCAAAGTGTTTCTCAAAGTAACGAAAAACGGATCCAAACGTCACCCAGGTAGATTTGATTAAGTTTTGGAGTTTGTAATCCTATTAGAGGGTGTTTTTAATTATTTTAGCACCAGAAAACATCTCAAAGGTGGGAGTTTGGTGTTCAAGCAATAAAAGTAAGTGCAAAACTTTATTTTTTAGATTGCTTGTTTTATTTTGAGATGTCTTCTTTAGGATCTAATTGAAGTGGAGATTCGGGTTGGAAATATGGATATAACCCAAATCCAAATGACAAAAATTGCATTAAATGCAATTTTTGTGAAAAAGATACAAAAGGGGCCATAAATCAGCTTAAGAAACATCTTGTCGGTATTAAAGGGGATATTGCCCCTTGTAAAAAAGTTCCTGAAGCTATTAGAGAGGAGATTAAGCAATATATGAGTTTTGTAAAACAAAAACAGGAACAAAATCCTTGTCATTTGAATAGATCTACTTCTGTTACTTCTAGAAGAAGTGATCCGGGTTGAAAGTATGATTATAACCCAAAACCAAGCGACAAAAATTGTATAAGGTGTAATTTTTGTGAAAAAGATACCAATGGGGTATTAACCGATTCAAGAAACACTTTACTGGTATTAAAGGGAATGTTGCTTCTTGTAAAAAGGTTCTTGAAGCTATCTGGGATGAGATTAGACAACTTCTGAATTTAAAAGAACCACAAAATGATGAAAATGAGCCTTGTTCTATGGAAATATCTTCCTCAGATTCTTCTAGAAGTGGTGATCTGGGTTGGAAGTATGGTTATAATTAGAATCCGAATGACAAAAATCATATTAAATGTAATTACTGTGGAAATGATACTAATGGGGGCATTTGCCTGTTAAAAAACCATCTTGCTGGTAATAAAGATGATGTTGCTCTGTGTAAAAATGTTCTTGATGTTATCAGGGAGGAAATTATACAATATTTGAGGTCAGTGAAGCACAAAAAGAGAACAGGGTAGAACAACCAAGACTCCTATGGCCTCATCTGCACATACTAGTAAGAGGGAGGTAGAAGAAGAGGAGGAAGAGATAAATTAAGAAGAAACAGAGGAGGACGAACGTTATACTGAAGAGGGAGATGACCCTGATGATGATGACCTCGATTCTTATGCATATGATGAAGCTTATCCTATTTCTTTTGACGATGACTGAAGACTCTTGGTGTTGAGTGTTGACTAATATGTCATAGATTGTATATTTTCTGAATTTTTGTATATTTTCTCTCTCTTATTTTTTGTTCATACTTTCTAATTTCTAGTTCTACTAACTTTTGTGTGTACAGTCTACAGTGTATCAGACTATCAGTGTACGGTTGTATGGTTTTACTGTTTTAGCATTGTATGAAAATGGATTATCAAAAATTCAAAATTCTCTTCTCGACTTCTATCTTCTTTTTTTTAACAGGGATCATGGTCTTATGGATTATCCAAATTCTTATGGATTATGGTCTTATGGATTATCAAAATACTAATGGGCGTCAGTTTTTTTTTCAACCAGGTTGCCCGGGCCGCCTAGGCGCTGAGCGGCCTGGACCCCCATGGTCGCCTGGGTGCCGCCTAACACTTTTTGAAACACTGGATCTTGGACTATAGGAGGTTAAACACTGGATCTTGGACTATAGGAGGTTTACTTTTGCATTGTATAATGGCAGTTGTAAGTGGAAATTCTAGTTATTAATGAAGAAAAAGAGTTTTTTTTTTTTTCAATTTATACTTTTGAATTCTACGTAGCAACACCTTTCAACACATACTACTATTGCTCCATAATCCTTGGCTCAAAGCTCTTCACCAAGTATAACATGTGCAAACAACTCAAGCCCAAGCCTGATTCCTACCACTTTCTAATACTCAAAAGCAACAACCACTAATCACCTGTCAACACAGGTCTGCATTGACAAGTTCAACTTTTGAAGTGGCTTTTATTGATAACACATCACAAACTTTTTCATTGGCCTAAAAGATTAAAAAAAATAAAAATTTTGTTTGAAAGGAAAACTAAACTACAAGCATCATTAATGAGAAGAAAAACTCACAAATCCTCATAAAAATCATTAAAATTATATATAAAAATATGTATAAATTGATTTCACAAATTAATACATTTTTGTGATTTTCTATTTTTTTTTTTAATTTCCCTAAGTTTTACATGAGTACTCTGCAAGTGGCCTGGTCTGGGTGGACTCGACCGAATTTTCGATCACTGGTATGAACAAGTGCTCATTGAATTTGTTGCTTGCTTGAATACTTCTAGGTTGAAACTGCAATCACAAATGCTTAAGATTTGATGAATGTATTAACATGTCAAATATCAAATACGGCAATAAAGGAAGGGACTGCCCGATTTATAATTTATGTTACTTTCCAGGGGATACTTTCTGATGTTATGTTGGATGGCTCTCCTCTTTATGGATGGAGGATATTTCCGATCTCCTTTGATGGAATCAGCAATATTTCAAATGTTAATCTTATTAAGCAGGCTCCGATATCAAGAACTTTGAAGAAAATTATTCAAAATGACTCTATGTCCCATTGTGAGTTCCTGCATCTCATACGAAGAGTTTGGTGAGCAAGAAACTTATCAGTTTGATCTGCTTGATTCGTTTCTACACCTATCAGTTTTATTGCTAGATATAAACTGGAGCTTACAATTTTGTCTCGAAGGTTTGATAAATGATTCATAATCACCTGTATTTCAATCATGGAATGTTTCTGCGAATACACTTCGGTTTTTCAGTGAAATATGATACCAACTCAGCCTGATTCAGCAGTACTTGGTATAGATTTTTGTGTACTTTTAAGTGTAGTTCTTGACAAGACTCGCCAATCTGATTTATATTAGGGGGTTGACTCAATTTGATACATGGATGACATTTAAAACAAATTGGTGCATGTTTATGTGTGCATATATCTGTGCAAAACATATTACTACTTACAGACTTCTCTCTAAAGACATGGCATTATTGTCAAACAAAAATGCTAACGTTGCCAATTTACCTGGGGAATTTGCACCCAAAATATAAGTGCATGATGTATATGTAAATACGTTCACATATTTGGATGTGTATTCTTATACCATTGCTACTTTTTTTTCGCTAAGCATGTTTTCCAAACCTATAATGTAGGAGATAAGGCAACATGCCTGTTTGGATGCTCCAGATGCAGTGGATAGGTTGCATTTAGGATAGTTGTTTTTCTGGAACACCTACATATTATTTGGTTGTGGTGCATTTGAAAGTCTTTGGAATCGACTTGCAAGTTGTTTCCCATAGACGTGTATACTATAGAGAGCAGTTTTATGTCTTTTCCTTGTAAGGCTGCATGAACCCTCTGTCTCCTACTGGGTAGAGGTCTCTCTCTCATCATCTCGCTAGGTTTCCTCTCTGCAACTCCACTAATCCCATCAGTCCACCAGTTAACTAGGCTTCAAATGCCTTCTTTTCACTGATAATAAGCAATTGCCATTGTACATTGCATTTCTGAAAACCCTAATTTCTTCATCTCCATCCCCAAAAAACTCTAATATCCTTTGTATTCCACTTGGTATTGGATCTCTTCAACAAATGATCCCTTGATTGTAATTATCATGCTAATTGCCGTCACATAAGCTCCTACAAAACATCATCATTGAATTGAACCAGAGTGGCTGTGGTAGAGGCCGCTTGGTCCCCGATGCAAGGAAAATTGAGGACACAGTAAAATCAACATAAAACAAAGCCAAACACCAGTACAATTAAGAGAAACCTAGGGTTTCTTCTCCACACCCAAGCTAGGGCTGTAAAAGCCTGAGCTTTTCTTTCAATTTGAATTTCTAAAAATCATGTGGAATGACACCCTCAAGGTGCCACACACCTCATATGTTATAATTAAATGTACAAAATGTGTCAAACAAATAATACATTGACCTATATATATCTTAACTTAAACTTAAATTTCATAATGACAATTTTACGCCTGTGAACAATACCTGTGAAAAGTACTCATGAACAGTACATGTGAATAGTGCCATGAAGTAAATAAAAAATATAAAAACCCTAGAATCCCTAAAAAACTAAAGAACCTTACAAATAACCCTTTGAAATTAAATAAAAATAAAAATAATTTTGCCCTCCACCATTCTTCTCTGGTTGGAGAAAGCCCGTCCTCCAGTTATGAAGTGTGCTAAGATGAATTCTACGTCAAAACTACCTTCTTTCGTCAAAACTACCTTCTTTAACCTTCTTTCTCGTTGTTGGCTCAAATGTTATTTGTGGTAAAAATAATTCTTCAAGAAACGAATCTTGATATGCAAATTTATCAAATGTAGATGTCCTTGAACTTCCATTGAAAATTGTGTAGGGAACTTCAAACTCAATTTTCTGTCCTTTAGAGGCTTTCTCCACATCTATTTCATTACTCTTTGAATATAAGGCCACAATTCCAGATTTATCAGTAGATCACACTTCCACTGCGCTACTCTGATTCCAATGCCCTACATCTCATGAATGGTCCACCTTGTCAATATTAATGAGATATTCAAAGACTATGATTTGGTTGAGTCCTCTTGCTGCCTTTTCTCCATATTCTTTACCCTCTTCCAAAATATCTTCAATATTATCTTGATCCTTATCATAGATTAGATCTCCTAAGAGATCTTGTTGTTTATCGGAGTATATATCGAAGATTGGTGGTGAATCCCAATTTCTAACTTGCTCATTTTTTATGCAATCTGTGTCAAAATCAGTAATCTCGTCCCTCAAATCAAAATTCCCAGAGTTATATTCCGAACGTCTAGGTTTTCTGTCACTTTCTTCATCATTCGACTTCTCACGTGGAACGCAAAAGTGAAAAGGCTTGTACTTAAGACCCTCTTGAGCTGAAAGATTGCCGTCTTGCCTATTATTGAGGCTCGCGACTGTTGCATCAACTTCTAAACTTGCCTTTCAAATTCCTCAATTCTCTCATCTCTTGGATTATGGAGCAGGTCTACGAAAATCCCTCTTTTATAATCCCTTCTCGTTGCTGTGGGTTCGCCGAAATCGCAAACCCGAAGCAAATAATCAACAAAAAACTACTCAAATCAGCAAGATCTAGGTTATTTTGGCAAAGCTTGGGCCAAAATCAACAAACCCTAGATTTGAATATAGTTCCTTAACCTTGTTGCTGAAGAAAACCTGAGCCCTGGTGCCAATTTGATGTAGGAAATCTGAGGATGCAATAAAATCAGTAAGAAACAAAATCAAACACAAGCGCAATTAAAAAAAACCTAAGGTTCCTTCTCTACACCCACGCTAGGGTTGCAAAAGCTTGTGCTTTCTCTTTCAATTTTTAAAAATCATATAAACTGACCTTCTCAAGGCCCAACAGACCTCTTATATATTATAATTTAATGTTTCAAGTACAAAAAGTGTCCGTAGAAGTAATATATTAACTTGTATGTCCTAACTTAAACTTAAATTTTGTAATGATAGTTTTACCCCTATGAACAATGCCTATGAATAATACTCATTAATAGTACTTATGAATGGGTGAAGTAAGTAGAAATTATAAAAACCCCGAGAATCCCTAAAAAATCAAAGAACCCTAAAAATAAACTCAAACTATAACTAAAATATACATCCTTTGAAATTGAATAAAAATAAAGTATAACAGTGATTTTGCCCTCGATCAGTCCCTAACCCTAATCTTAAGCTTCTAGTTGCATGGTGTTGATTTGAATATTCTGAAAATCCATGATCTCATAATAAAGTCATGTAACTCTTGATCAAGCCCCTGAGAAACCTTGGACTCAAAGCCCTCCAAGTGCTACATCTGCTCATCTAAGGTTCAACGTCGTGGATTTTTGGTGAGCTCACTTAGGGATTTGCAATCAATCTAAGCTTGGATCTTAAACTGCACCAAAGAGTTGAATCAAGTACAAGGCTCTGAGCACTTGGGTTTAATCATGATCAATTTCTCTACTACATGTAGTGTGTATGCATATGGACTTGGAAGAGATGTGATATTTTGTCCTGCCAAACGACATTATAACCTCACGTATGTATTTGTGCCAACAATTCCACTACAAGAGTCATGTTGTTCGAAAATATACTTATTCGATGTTTTGAAACATAGACTTGGTTTAGACTTGCTGGGCTCCCAAGCCCAAGTCAAGGTGAATCAACTCAGCTAAACACTCCCATAGAAATGGTACTATGAATTCTGGTTGTATTCTCGTAAATGAAACTTTGATCAAGTCGTCTGTCAACGTGGGGTCTTAATCAGCTCCAATGAATTTTCTCCTTCTGTCCCAACAAGTCCACTACAAGTTTCCTTGTCGTTGAGTGAGGGAATTCTCATTAGGTAGTGATAGAGGGAAAAATTATACTTATTTTTAATTTCTATTCAATCTTAAAGGATGTTTACTTTGATTTTAGTTTTAAGATTTATTTTTTGGACTTTTAGCTTTTTAGGAATTCTAGGATTTTTACAATCTTTATTTATTTCATAAGTACTATTCACAGGTATTATTCATGAGTACTGTTCATAGGGGTAAAACCATCATTACGAAATTTAAGTTTAAGGTAGGGTATATAGGCCATTTTAATCATTGTATGGACATGTAAAGTATGTGAACATTGAATTATGATATATAAGAGGTGTGTGGGGCTTTGACAGCACCCGTTCCACATGATTTTAGAAGTTGAAAGAGAGAAAAGCTCAGGCTTTTGGAACCCTAGCTTGGGGTATGGTGAAGAAACCTAGGGTTTCTTCAAATTGTGCTTGTGCTTGACTTTTCCCCTAGTTATTTTTATTGTTCCTTCAAATTCTCCTGCATCAAATTGGTATCAAATCCATGATCTATTAGAAAATCACTGTAGCAGTGTATGGAGTCAATATGTACAGAGTTACTGTAGCACCACGTTTTTGGTACCTTAAGTCAACAAAGATGGGAAGTTACAGTGGGGTCTAGGGTTTGCTGATTTTGGCAAAAGTTTTGTCAAAACAACCTAGATTTTGCATGGCAGCGAGAAGGGCATAGAAGGGGGATTTTTGTAGATCCCCTTTGTGATCCCATAGATGACAGAATCGAGGAACTTGAAAGGCACGTTCAACAGCTGACGCAGCAGTTTGCGAGCCTTAATAATGGGCAAGATAGTGATCTTTCAGCCTAAGAGGATCTCAAGTACAAGCCTTTTCACTTTTGCGCTCTGCGTGGGGAGTCGTGTGATGAGGATAGTGACAGAAAACCCAGATGTTCGGAACCTAGCTCTAGGTTTCCGATTTCGAGGATGAGATTGTTGATTTTGACATAGATTGCAGCGAAAATCAGCAAGTTGTAGATTGGGATTCACTTACAATCTTCGACGCATACTTATATGAGGAACAAGATCATGTAGGAGATCCAATCTATGATGAAAGATGATGCTCAAGATTTCGTATTTTAATTGTATTTGATGAGGAAAAAAATGAAGGACTCAAAGGAGAATTGAAAGGTGAAGTTGTTGGTTTAATCGCTGATCTCAAAGATGCACTCGTGGTGTGTTCTAGAGCTGAGCCTGAACAAATTCAGCAA